ATATGCCCGCAAGGCTTTTGACAAATGCCAAGCACTTGGAGGCCACTAAACTAGCCACACAAAGCTTTATAAGCCGAAGGCTGAGAAGGAGACGTCGAAGCACTAGTGTTCCATATGTCCTAAGGAATGCGATACAGGTCAAGCACTAGGTGGGCACATGAGGCTCTACAGAGAAGAATTGTTGAGGCGAAAAGCTCAAGAACAGATATAGAGGCACTAGATGGGCACATGAGGCTCTACAGAGAAGAATTGTTGAGGCGAAAAGTTCAAGAACAGATAGAGAGCAAAGTTGTGCATGAACCACAAACACCAGCCCACGATCAAGTAGATTTTATAAATGGCAACCAAGTAGTGCTTCACTCCAATCTCAGTGAGATTACCCAAAACACGAACCCTAAAGAACCCCAAAACGCTTGTGCTTTTCAATAGTGAAGAACCTCTGTAACCATTTTTAGGGAATTATTTGTTAATAGTTTTTTTAGGGGACCCTGATTCATTCATTCTTTTTTTCTTTTTTTAGAAGTTTTCGATGTATGAATGAATTATATACCTTAATTCTTTATAAGTGATTTTATGAATAAATTTTTATAAATCATATTGGTTTGTTCCCATGAAAAAAGTATAACTGAGAATATAAATTTCTTGTTAGTAACTACAAGTGATCTCCCAGGGTATCTTTTGCAAAAGTAAACTCTATGATTATCACTACCTAGATAGTACCAGATCAATGGATGTTAAATTTATTGTTATTTTCACTTTCCAAACTTCTCCCTAAAGTCAATTGTGTAAAATTAAATTTATTGTTTTAGGAAATTGTTCGTCATTAGTCATGTTAGTTAAATCATTTCCAAAATCTCACCATATGGTTACACTTACAAATATATATATATATATATATCCTCTCCCGTATATGAGATTTAACAAGCAAAAAATATATATTGCCAAATAAATATAGAATTGGAAACATGAATTTGCAAATACGGTTTAATGAAATTAAAAAATAATAAATTTATGTTTGTAATGAGGAAAATGGATAGAGCGACTTTGAAAACAAATTTTAAAGTTGGCGTATTGATTAAAAGAGCCCCCACAAACTCGTATTTAAAAAAAAAAAAAAAAATTAAGTTGGCGTATTGATTAAAAGAGCCCCCACAAACTCGTATTTAAAAAAAAAAAAAAATTAAAGTGGGCGTCTTGATTAAAAGAGCCCCCACAAACTCGTATTTAAAAAAATAAATAAATAAATAAAAGCTGGTGTATTGATTAAAAGAGCCTCCACAAGCTTGTATTTAAAAAAAAAAAAAGAATCTTATACACTAGTTCTATTCACCCACAATTTATTTACCTCAAAGTTATGTCATGCAACTATTTATTTACCCGAATAGTTTGTTAAACGATTTACAGTAAGGCCCGTTTGGTATATCAAAATATATCGGATGACAATAGATTACAAGGAAATATAATATTTCCACTTATTTGGATAGATTACAAAACAAAATATGATATTTCCACTGATTGGGTACACTTTAATGGTAAGAAAATAGAAAGATATTACCCGATATTTCTCTAAAAATCACAAAACGCATATGAAAAATTTTCGCCTCTTTCTTTGCCCTATGCTCGTTTAAAAAAATTGCCAACATTTTCCCTCTCTCTGAGTCTTCTCTCTTCACTGTAAGCCCTATTCTTTCTGAGCCATAATAACGGGCACTACTCTCTGAGCCATAATAACTCGCCCTACTCTCCCTGAGCCATAATAACTCGTTTGTATAAGTGCTCACTTCTTCTCTATGACCAACACAGGTGATCGTTTCATCTCTAAGCCCACCTCTCCATAATAACTAGTTTGTATAAGTGCTTCTTTCTCTCTACGGCCAGTATAGGTGATCCTTTGATCTCTAAACCCACCCCTCTCTCTTGAACCCTAATAACTGGTTTGTATATAGTGCTTTCTCTCTATTTACATCACTGCATAATGTGCTCCTTCCCTTTTTAAGTGATCTTCCTCTCATCTGGACACCTTTCTTTCATGTGAATTTTTCCATTCTCTTACTTTTATTAGTATATTCGTTCTCCCTCTATACGGCATATGTCCATTTCTACATTCCTCTATCCTCAATTTGGGTTAGCCCTCGTATGAAACCATCAACTCTCATATAAAAACAAAAATAATAATCAGTAAGCAATGAGAAATTACATAATACAATCATAATAAAAATTTCACACAACATAATCCTCATAAGATATTAGTATAAGCCCAATTGAAATAAGATACATCTTTAGTCTCCTCCAATACCTCAAAATTTTCTACTGCAATAACCAAAACTTCTAATTTACTAATCAAACTTCTTCCCATTTTTTAGTAAAGATTTTTGATTTGGTATCATAAATTTATTGTTTATTTGAAATTATATACATAGACATTTGAAAACTTTTATAAAAAATTAATAAAAATAAGGCTTATCACAATAACAACATGTTATTCCAATCATATTATTCCAATAACTTATCACTTTGAAATCAAAGTCTAATCATGTTAAAAGACATGTGATTCCATGTAAGTTCCAAAGGCATGCAAAATAAATAGTAAATTGTGTGATGATGACTTTAGAATGGCACAAGTTATCATTAGAAAATCTTTTTTGAATGATGATGATGTTATTATTCGAAAATATTTTTAGAATGATATGATGATGACTTTAATTTTGCATTTCAATAGAATTTTTTGACAAAAAAAAAAAATGATAGTTTATAAGCAAATGTTGATAATGCATTTCTCATATTTCTTTTCGACATAGCTAAACAGTACCAATGTATTTCTCATGTTGCATCTAAATACTACCCAAACAGTAACAATCCATTTAACGCCACTAATATATTTCACATGCAATATATTTTCAAGTATCCAAACGGCCCCTAAAAGTGAAGAAGAAGCGGGACCTATTTATCCCACATCAAGACACATGAGACGGCATAAAAGCCTCACGCTCCATCAAATTGAAGTGTGTACGCCTCATTAAACACATGTTGTTCAGTTACACGGGTTCATTCTAAAGTGATTAGGGCCTACTAGAACTGCTATGGACCGGTCTGGACAGGCTAGTTCAAAATAGCATACGGCCATATCCCAATATATTATGAGTTTCGAAATAGCCAAGGCGATTCCGAATCTCAATCTGATCCAGATCGCCAATTTCAACCAAAAGAGTGAAAATTGCCCTTTCTCGCACTCTAGCCATCTCTTTCTCAGGCTATTAAGCCTACTCTCCTCTAATGGCGCCCTTTCTATCGCTGACTCCCAAGCCTACCTTGCTCCTTACAAGAGATATTTGAGGACTTCAATTTTTGGGATGCAAACTACCAACCTTTAAAAAGAAAAACAATGATGCAACCTACCAACCTTTAAAAAGAGAACAAATAAGGAAGTAAGCGTATAAATTACTCCAGAAGGAATATACCCAATACCAGTTTCATTCGCCTCCAGCATTTCAAAATTATTCTGAATTTCAGACAACTGGTCAACAAATTCAATTTAACAGTGAAAGATGCAAGTCCAATTGAAACCCCACCAGCAGTTTGGGTCCAAGGGCTAAAATTACATTTTCAAGAACTTGGATAGGGCTGACAATGGGCCCTGCCTGGGCCAGGTCAGCCGTGGACCTAGCTCGGCTCTAATCTTGAGGACCTGGCTGCACCGGGTAAAAAAAAAATTACAAAAAACCCCAAGATTATGTTTGAATGCAACTTACTTCCAATCTAGTTTTTTTTCTCACTTTTTACCCCAAAACAAACTTTTTATGCAAATACCCCCAAAGAAAAAAAGGTAAAAATAAAGAAAAATTACAAAAAAATCTCCAAGGTCAAAAAAAGGTAAAAATAAAAAAAAATTACAAAAAAAAACCCAAGGCCATACTTTGAATGCAACTTACCTCTAACCTAATTTTTTCTCCCACTTTTTCCCCAAAACTTAGTACTGTCCCATTACATAGTGTCGAAGACCTGAAATCCAATAACATCTACTGCCAGACTGCCCTTTGCAATTTACATAGTGTCTAAGACCTGAAATCCAATAACATCTACTGCCAGACCACCTTTTGCAATTGTCGGATCACTGTAACTCCATAATTTTTACTGCCAGACCGTACACTTAGCCGGAGCCATGTGACTCCGGAGTGTTGTACTGCCGGACCGCACTTACACAGTGCCGAAGCTCCAAAGTGTTCTACTGCCTTACACAGTGCAAGCGCCAAAGTGTTCCCTTGTCGGACTGCAGTTACACAGTGCCGAAGCCTGAGAGTGTTCTACAACCAAACCTACTTACACAGTATCGAAGTTTGTGACTCCAGAGTGTTCTACTGTCTGACCGCACTTATACAGTGCCGGAACTCTATTTTGGTGCGCCAGAGGTGAGACAGACGTGGGTAAGGTAAAAGTACGATAAGGTAGTTTAGTTTTTTTTTTTTTTTGTGGTTGGGAGAGTATTTACATAGAAAGTATATTTTGGATAAAAAACGTGAGAAACTTTTCCCTAAAAACAAAAAAAAAAACAACCCAAATAATATGAAAAATAAAATATAATATACAAACATTAGTTAGGCCGGACCACGCCTAAACTTGGAATCGTAGAGACACATTCATTGCAAGCTAGCATCCCGGTGATGCAAAACGATACCCCTATTTCGCGCACGGAACCAAACAAGAAGCTTTCACTTTTTTTTGTGGCTGAACATATCCCTGTGCTTCAATCATTTGTTTTAAGAAAAGAAGCATAAAAGCAAAACCCAGTCACACAACAGCGAGTCAACTCATGAGAGAAAGGAAGAAGAGGGGGAATGGGGGAGGTTTCCTCACTTTTCAGAGGGAAGATGGGGGGCCGGGCCTTCTCTATTTTTTACATCTTACTTTTCTTTGGACCCCTAGCAATCGAGTAATGCTAAGCATTATCAAACTAATAATATCAAACAAAGCACAGCTCTAGAGTCTGAATATGACAAACTTCCAGGCGCCAAACAGTAAAAAAAATAATTGGATAGAATGTCTCGTTCTACATAATGTGCTTGATCCTTGTTTAAGGAAGAATGTTAAAAAAACAAAAACACAAAAGAAAAAAAAAAAGAACAGCTAGTTTTTCTTCCTCTTACAGAATTCCTCTTAATAAAATAGAGAAAAACTTTGATGTTGGCCACCATTCTGTACATAGCTTGTGTGTTTAACTGGAGGATCACAGATTTCACAAATAGCAGCTTTGTGTAGCTCAGTGTCCTGATACAAAGCAAAAAAACGTCATCAGCATCTCGGACATAAGGGGAATAACGGTGAGAGATTCTGTCATGAGGCATACGCAAGGGGTGCATTAGCTACAGTAAAAATAAGGAGAAAACAGAAAGTGACACTCTATCTATAGGGATAGCTATAGGATGCAACCAAACAACTTTCCTTTTTAGTGTGATACGACGAAACAACTTCGAGGTGAAGAGACGAAGATTGTTTTAACAGGACAAGTGGCCAAATCAGGCTGATCTTTCTCAGGTTCAAAATGACTTTTTCTACCAAGATTATATCTGTCTTTTTTCCCTTTTTTTCTCTTTTTCTTTTTTTTTTTAATTGTTTTTTGAGAGAGAGAGAGAGAGAGGGAGAGATTAAAGAAACTCAAATGGCAGGACCTGGGGAATCAGATATTTTACACAATCCATTTTCAGGAATTTCATTTCAAAATCAAGCATCTTTCTATCCCTCACACAAGCCCGAGCGGCATTGTGTGCACACAAGAATCAGATGGCTAGACTCAACAAAGTGACTTTAGAAACCATAATTTACTCACAGGCAATTTGGAAACTCCAGGGAAGTTCGCTTCCTACTTTACAGCTCACTGTAATTACGCCACACTGCTCGGAACTCTTCACGGAATGTGTTGAGCCGAGCTTTCAAGTTGGGTGTCCTAAAGCTTGCATGAAGAATGGTAGCTGCCAAAAATGAAGAACAAAAGAGAAGAGAACACATCAAAATAGTGATAAAATATACATCCATACACAGATAACTACATATATGAATGCATGTATGCATAGATAAGGCAAAAAGTCCATTATGATCCAATGGACTATGGAAAATCCGTAGTTGATTGGGTCAACACCATCCACAAAGCCATGGATAGAGATAAGTGGAAACCACCAGAAGAAAACACCTTGCCAATAGGGGTTCCTCCTCTATCCATCACCACACAGTTCAGTCAAGACCTAACAAACTAAGGTTTTCCCCATAGCCAACTTAGGAAAAGAAGAAGAGACAACCAGTTTATGAAGAGATACCTAGAAGACCTATGACAAATGCCCATAGCACTGTGAGGAGACCGCAAGAGGCAAACCACAAGAAGAAACTAGCTGCAAAAAACAAATGCATGTAACTCATCAACCAGCATCTTACGATGATCCCTTCCAGGACAATTTAGCAAAAAATGAGAGAGTAAAACCTACAGGAAAACTAAGCATAGTTTGAAAGGAAAAATGAAATTTTTAAGGAAACAAATGCATCAGTGATTCGATTTACCAACTAAAAAGGAAAAATCTATTTACCAACCGAAAAAAAAAAAATTAGCAGTTTCGTAAGTATCATAATAGCAAAGCAAAACAAATCAAAAAAGATAAAACCAAATTTCTTAAAGATGACAAAGAACCATTGTGCTGAAGTGAACTCCGAGAAGATGGCAAAGAATCATTGTGCTTAAGAGAACTAGAAGATGCAAATAACCATTGTGCTTAAGAAAACTTCTTCCCTCATACTTTTCTTAAAACAGTACTGCGACTTCCTTTTCTAATGAGAGAGAGAGAGGAGTTGGCTACTAATCAGAGTTTAATGTACCTGCAGAGAACACAAAAACAAACATCCACCGAGGCCGCCCACATATATGAATTTGCCTTTTCACAGAAGGACGCCCACGGATGACGGGCCTGCAACAAAAGAGGATAACATAGTAAGCAGCCACAAAACTATTTTAATATACAATTTGTGTGAAACCAAGAAAAGAAAACGTACGCAACAGGTGGCCTCATCTTTGCAGCCAAATGTGGAGAAAACTGCCTCACAGTTCTTGTCACCTTCTCATTGAAAGTCACTGCAAAGCTATCAATTCACATGAAGAAAATACTATTAAGTAAACTATCCACCACAACATACATATATCATAGGGGTAAATAAACCAGGGTCTGTGGTGTATGGTACTCCAAGCCTACATCCACCATCTGTCGCACTAACAAATATCTGGGGATTAAATGCAGTGGGGCCCGCAAGGATTTTCAACCAGGTAAAGTAAACCTAAATCATCCAGAAGTTGAAATCAGTTATTCAAAAAGCGGACCGCCTAGGCGGTCTAAAAGGCCTGGGCACATCGCCCAGGCCAAGGCAGCCAATCTGGGCAGCAGTCCCTGGGCGGCCGCCTAGGCGGTACGGAACCAACCTAAGCAGGCGCCTAGCGCCCAACCCAGGGCAGCCTCGCAGGGCCTGCGCCCCGCCCAAAGGGGAAAAAATTTTATTTTTCAAAATTGACAAAAATTGATCAAAACATCACCCATTGATATTAGATTTAATTTTGGATGTTTTATAAATCTATTGAGGGGTTTTTTAGAAGATTTTGAGTCCTTAGAAGCATCTTTGACTGGGCATCCTTTTTGGATTCGACTGGGCCGCCCAGGTTCTAGGCGCCTGCCTAGGCACTGGACGGCCTGGACCCACCAGGCCGCCTAGGACCCGCCTAGCGCTTTTTGAAACACTGGTTGAAATAGATGGTGGATTCACCTTGCAGCATCATAGTCCCATTGTCCATTGTACTTTGATATGCTTTCTATAACATAAACATGTGCATACACAGCAGCAAATATTAAATCCCACAATAAACCATATACTGAGATATGGGTAGGTTCTATAATGTTTCGTAGATTTCAACATCCAAACAACATTTCATGCATGGGTTTTGCAAAGTCACAAACAATGAATGAAAGGACAACCAGCAAAATTGTCATCAACTTGTATTCATGTCATAATCTGATGCATAGAATCAAATTATATATGCCTTTTATTTTTCTTTTTTTTGGAAACTGAATCAATTATAGATGCTCTGTCATGGGCGTTACAATAAAATCTATGACACACCCAACCACCTCACCTCCTCCCTCCCTCCCTCTCTCATTCATACACACATGCACACATGTTTCCAAGAGGATCCCAAACCACCCAGTGTACACTGCCTTCTTTTGTCAAAAAGTCAATTCTCGGAATGGTCTTTTGAGATCACTTCAGTGTCAGAATAGAACATTGGTGAGTTTTAAGGGAATGCCACACATATAATACCAAGAACACGTGTCTATGAAGAAAGCATTTCATGGGCTCAGTTTACGCTGCAATAAAGGAACTCCTCCCCACTTTAGAATCCTCAGCCATTTCGGTCCATAACCAGCCAAAAAAGCTGGCAAGATTACATATCAACAAGAGATAAGGGACTTTTATACAAGCACATTATTCAAAATCTGGAAGTATTGGTGGATATGTGCGGCTATCTCAAGCCTCATTACAGAACAACGTAAAGTCAATGTTCCGGGGCTCGCCTCGGCCAAGGGACTCGCCCATTGGCCAAGGAGAGTTACTTGGCCGAGTCCTCAGGGATCGGCTGAATCCTGCAACAGGATGAGAGCCCTAAAAAGAATGGGGAAAAAAAAGGAGCCAAGAAAAATGGGAAATAGAGTGGGCCTTGGGAAAGTACCGGGGGAAGCGAGGGAAAAACAACGCACGAGGCTGGAGGAGGTGGTCAAGAGAAGAAAAAGTAGGGACATGTGGCTGAAGGACTGAGAGAGATAATACATGTGGCTAAGAAGAAGTTTATCTAGCACATGTGCAGTGAGAGAGAGAGAGAGTGTGGAGGGGGCGGGGAGAGTGAGAGAGACAGCCCAAAGAGGGAGAAAGGAAAACAAAGGGTGGGGGAGAGAGAGAGAGAGAGAGAGAGCAGCTGAGTGAGAGAGGAGGGGGGAAAAGAGGGAGGTGAGAGAGAGAGTGAGAGTAGGGGGAGGGAGGAAAACAAAGGGGGAGAGAGAGAGAGCAGCTGAGA